CTGTGTTATACGTTCAGGCTACAAGTGGGTCACAGTATCACACATGCACGCAAAACTGCATCGCGTCATTGGTCCGGACAAGTGCACTGAGCGCGAAAGCAACAGTCTGGACCAATGATGAAACGAGTATCAACCGGGCAGTATAAAAGGAGTATAACACAGGCTAATAAACTTGGATTACTACGCGAGCTCCTAGTATGCCCAATAGTGTGCATTCACGGAGCTGACATCTTTAATTTCGCGCGTAGTATACGGGGCTACTATATACGCCTGTTTCCATATACTTATAACTTTATAGTGGTGTGTCTTTAAACAATTAAAACAATGTTTAAAACATGGAACAACTAACTACTGGTTCTGGCTGCCCATCCACACAGTTGGCCATCCTGTAGGGATATCAGCGACATTTTCATCGTATTTGTTCATTGCATCACGGACATGCGACGGCAATGCAGCCCTTCCAACCCGACTTCCGGACGGTCGTTCAGGTTCCACACTGTCTGAAACTGCCCAAAAATGATAATGTTCACGTTTTATCAAAATTTTGAATAGATGCGCGTGGTCAGTGGTGGAAAGGAACGGAACAAAACTGAATGTGATCCGACACGAAAGATTAGTGGCAACTAAAATGGTGAAGAAGCATGAAAGCAGACTACCACCACTACAACCCTGAGGAGGAAAGATTAGCATAAGCCAAAAGTGGATAGTCAACCACGAAACGCAGTACAACACCTATATTCCACCTTTTTGGTCTTTCGATTTTTCGAGTAGGATCAGTACGTTAGTCTCAGGAGATTCAGTAGTATTTTCAGCACTCTGGTCTTCCGATACCTCCTCATTTACTTTTTCCATCGGAACTGGTTTCACTATAAACGATCAGAATACAGCAGTCATGCCTCTGCACCGGAACCATTCATTTTTGAGATATTGAGATGAAACTAGAAAACATGGACAACAAAATCACACCTTCAAGTGATCCAGTGACTGCTTCAGTGTCGCTAACGCTAACTGAAATGAATACGGTTTGTAGAACGAAGTGAACACGGAACAAAAAGCCACATTCACTGGAACGCCATCTACAGACGCACTGACTGTGAGTACTTGGGACAGGAACGGGTATGTGACAAGACAATCGCAGCTCGCCGCGCTGTTGAGCGTCGCGCGCGACGTCGCGCCCGGGAATGACGATATTTTTAGATATTCAATGGTGACAACAGACAGGGTATAATCAAAAATAGCTGTAAATGTTTAAGATTTCATAGTCTATGTGTAGACCCGAGCTCAATGGCTCATGCAAATTAAAAAAAATGCCGCGCCCTTCACCGCGCGCGATGGAGCGGCTAATTACGATTGTCTTGGTCCTCTCACACACAGAACCACATAGCCAAGGATGAGGGAGGAGGAAACGGACGATCGAAACCGGAAAAAAAGATTTGAACTTACAGTCTCGAGTTCGCTTTGGACTTGGCCGCATATCATTACTGCAGTATGTTGGAACTCCATCTTCAGAATCTTCCATTTTCCGCAGTTCTACCCACTCACAAGCGCCCAAATCGGAAAACTCGATGCCTGAAAGGAGATAAACGTCCCTTTTGCCAAAAAAAACAAAAATGGGAGGACATACCATCCGGTATATCCTTGACTTTTCCTCCTCCACAGAGGAATGTCTTCGCAGCGGCTTCATCCAAAGACGGATCACCTTCGGAAACACCTGGGAAAATAGGGCTCTTCAGAGAAATATGAGGTAATTGTTTAGTTGATCGGGCCACGGAGCGGCGCGGCTAGGTTCGCGCCTGCTTCAGAGACAAGAACTCGCAGACATGAACTCGCACAGGAACGGAATTAGCCGCGGCGCGGCTTAGCCCCTCTCAGCTACTGCAGCGCCGAACGTGACTAGCAAAATCAAATATCCTCTACAAGAGAATGCTTCTATAAATTGATCTTTGCAGTTCATGCGACTTACCTGGAACTCCACGAATGCAAAGTAAATGGCTTTCACAGGCTCGGAAGGTCTCAATGACGTTGTTTGGATTGTTAGCATCCAGTATCGCCACATGACTTTTGCCTTGATTTGAGCTTCCAACCCGTAATGACGGATGACGTTTGCCATTCCGCCAGCTCACTTTCCCTGGCATCCAAAGCACGAGCATGCTTCAATATTGAATATTCATTTTGAACGAACGCATTCTGAAAGTTTGCTCTCCTTGACATACCGAAATTTCATTTTCGAGCTGGTCGTCACTATTTGATTCCTTAGGAACCTTGGCGGCGCTAGGAGAGAAGTAGACAGGATTCCCTGTGATGAACTTTCCATGCTTATCGAGACCTCCATGAAGGATCACCGAAGTGGCACACCAAACCTAGAAACTCAATGTTAGTTCGCAAATCTGTAGAAAAAGTAAAGGCACTGTTCGCCTTGTTGGGAGGAGGGTGAGAAGGCATCCATAAAAGACTGCTTGTGCAGAACTGATGCTACGCGTTGGGGAAGAGGCTAACAATGAACCAAGGAAGGAAAGGAGCTTTGAGGTGGGTAAGCCACAATCCTCGGGTGAAAAATGGGATATCGAGCAACACTGATTCGTAACTGTCTTACACTAAGCGCCCTAAAAGCTTAACACTTCCCTCAGACTGAGCAGCTCTTTAAGCAAAATGACGAAAAGTTTCCAAACGATAACAGAGGTTATAAAGTGTCTGTCGCAGCGGATGCTGGGGTATGTAGGCGAGGAGGGGGCTGAGTAAGGTGCGGCGTCAGCCTGTTCCCTACCAATTTGCTAACCCTGCTCCCTTGACACGCCCCTGAGCACAGGACTAAAGACTACAGGATCCATGTTGCAGCGACCGCCCAAAGTTGCAGAGTTGGGCCAACATACTGAGCATTTTCGGGTGGAAACCATTTAGGTCTGGCGAATGTGGAGCACGTGTTATCGTTTGTAATGTTCTATGCAACGCGGATCTCGTCCCCAACTTGACCCTTCAATACGTATATCTACAGAACCTGACCTTGATAGATGGCTGATTTTCCATGAGTGGACGGCAGCAGACGGGAACTGGAACCATCGCTGACGCATTTGATTTGTCCAGTACAGCTGGTAGAGACCATCCATATGCCTAAACGGATCACATATCCTTGTGGGGACTATAACTACATAGCAAAAGCAGATGTCAGTTCGAAAAAAAACTGAGTTATTCAGCAGCAAAGGAAGTTATTAGAGACAACAGCACTGCATTGTCATTCATGGATTAGGCAAACAAAACGCCCACAGAGGTGAAGCGACCCAACACCCATAATTTATAGGAAACCATATCTCGCCAGTTCTCCTGGGAAAATGGAGCTCGTCTGCACAAAATTCTCCTACCAGCTCCCATCCATGCTATCATAAGCAAGCTTCCCAGAGTGGGATGCATATGAACCCTACAGAACCAACCACTAACTTCCAGATATGAGCACAATGGTTTCACCTGGATTCTTGATGAAATTTCCATGCTGCTGACAGAACTGGGAGTTTTCAGAGAACTCTTTGTGCAAAACTGGGATCAACGCTAGAATTGCCGTAAACGAAGTTGTCCCACCGACCCGGAGCTCCTTTCCCACTTTATGCTCAAAGGCAGTTCGCACGATGGTTTCCTACTCTGCCTAAAATGCTAGTAGGGCGCTATATAGTGGGGAAATGGCGAAAGAACGGAGTGAAACGGTCAAAATCCTGCGAAGAAAAAGCCTCCGTTCTCAGTGACTTGAAAATCGATTTCGGACGAGTTTCCCGTAGGCATCTTGCCAATCACCGCTACCGAAGATACGGCTGCATATGTGTACCCATATATGCATGCAGCATCACGGCCGCTTCATACCAATCCCTTCGCTTCATAATTTGCTTAGCAAATGAATGAATACGAGCGTCAGGAACGGTCGTCCATTTGTGGGCGGGCGGGCGTGGCGGGCGTTTGGGTCGGTATGTTGTGGCTTGATAGGGCCCTTATAAGGGCACCTTCCTTGGAAAAGGCGCTATGCAGCGCCTGCTCAGGGTCGCGGAATTCCGTCCTGCCAGGCGTATTGATCCTAGTCGTCTTGGGGGATTTATCGTGCCAACTGCCTTTACACAGTCCCGCGCTCAACCGTCAACCAATTCATAGGTAGGCGTTATTCCTTGTACAACAGACTGGTCCACAGTCTTTAAGATTCTCTTACTCTGAACTGTGGCTGCACAGTAAGTAACGAAGGCACTGCTTCTCTTAAAGTAGCACTTCTGACGTCTCCCTAGTTGGCCCCCCTCCAAAATTCGAAGGTTGCTTTTACTCAGCCTTTACGCAGTGTTTATTTTAGTGTCAATTGCATCAGCAGGTCGGCGCGAAGAAATTATTAATGAGTCGGATGTGGCAGGATATCGCTTTGCTGGCATAAAACGAGCAGGTCCGAAGAACTTGTACAGTGCAGCTGCCAGGGTCCTCTTCGAGGGTGTTCACCTTTCTCCTTTTTTTGCTTTTTTCTTCCCGAGAGATACTTAGCAACTAGTTTTGTAACTCAATGCCATTATCTACGACACGCAATCGTTTTTGTCTTTAAGTGAACAGCTCCTAAGGCGGAGGCTATGTAATTGCTTCCCACCATGAGTTCCTTATGCATCCCACCCTGGTTTCAATGCAGTCCATGTCCACATTGAGCCACGTCTGAGAGGTCATGAAAAATAGATAACGAACCGTAGCATCAGCCATTGTTCTGACAATCCAATATTGAGTGCATACTGCTAGTTCCGAGTCGCGGTATGTCACACAATCAGAACATTTTTTGCTAGTTGACTTGCAAAGCGCCTTTTCTTGCACTTACCGCCACTTGAGACTAGCGGTTAAAACCCTCAAACATGAGCTCCTGTGGAAATGGATTACACAGAAAACACTGCGCTTACTAACTTCTTGACCAATTACCATTCCCAGTTTTTTTTTCGGACTTTCGCGTCAACTTTGTGCAGCGGTCTTTAAACTTGACAAAAAGTCTACCACAGGTAACTTGAAGCTGTTCTCATCATTTTTCGACATAGATAGTGGCTATAAAAGTAGATTCAAATACCTGCTTCAAAACCACAACGAATATATATCTACGCTGTTTTACCTCAATACGACCACTGTCATCCCGTTTAACATGTTCACGTACAAGTTTGTATTGTTCTCTTCGCTCAGCTGCTCGTCGTTCTGATATCCCTCCTGACAGCCAATATATTCTTCTATTTATCAATGTACGGAGGACGAAAAATCAGGGTGCGAACAAAGGATGCGAAACTTATTTTTTTACTCCACTTCACATAGCACAAGACAACACTTGGCCTTCTCTGTACAATCGAAAGGGCTAGGAGTTCCTTCAACATTCTCTTTTACATTCCAATGATGCGAAAGAATGCTGTCTGGCCTTATTTACAAAATACGGCAGCCTAAAAGAGCTGTCATGCGAACCAAAGTAAGTAGCCTGGCTTTTCAAAACAAAATTAAAATAAACGCTGAGAAAGGCGCCAGTTGAGAAGGCCATGAGGCGGCGCCTATTCTTTTTTTTTTTTCTTTGTGTGTGGGGGGGTTTTTTTTTTTCTTTTTTTATGCCATGTCATGCCTGCTTGCTTGCGTCCTCTCGCCAAACAACAGAATGGCATAGTTATACATTCAGCGTGCCACAAGACATGAAATACAGACAAATCGTGTCATACTCACACCACCGCTTGGCCCCTCACAACTAAATTTACCTCGTGAAAACAATTTCATTTGCATTCCCCATGCACAAGCCCTTAGCCTGTGGCATCTGTGAGATATCCCTGTGATTTGAAGAGCAGCGTCTGACAAACAAGAACATGTGCGCCGCAAGCCAATCGGGCTTGCAGTCGGAACTGCTCCGTCTCTACTTCATGCCACTCTTTCTCATTAATCAACAGCAGGTCTGAATCGTCTGTTCTTACCCGGCGGATACCAGAGAACCGTGAGAATATGCCGAGAGACGCCGAGAACCAAAAAATACTAGATAGTATCGACTTCGGTCTCTTATGGGTTCCGACTAGCAGGACTAAATTCATGTAACTTCCATTTTCGAAGACCTCCACCAACTCCCTCCAGGTGTGACAATGCAAGACAAAGCCTCAATACTGGTGGATTGCAGGGCACGCTCCTTACCGCGGTCTGACCACGAACACTCCACTTAACGCCTTCGCTGATTGATCGGGCGCGGTTGAGTTACTTTATAACTGCCCACAGTGTGGATGTAAGAGCATTCCCGAGGGATATTTCCGTCTGAACGTGTCGTCGGTCTCGTGTTGGACAAAGACCTGGCCGAACTGTCCCAAAACGGCAACATTCCAACAAAGCCGTTGCCGCCATGGCCACGAAGAACACAACACGCCCTCCACGTAGATCAATGAGGAAGAGTATTTACCGAAAAAAATAATGCAAAATGGGTGGGTACGGCTTCACCTATAGCATGCAACTCCACTGAATGCACATTGCAACATATTTGGTCATGGAAATGCAATCCAAAATAACTGACTACAACTTCTCAGACATAAGCAAAAAACTGCTGCGCCCATTCGTGGACTGAATATAAACTAGAGTTTTTTCGTCAGCAGTCTGCACTTTTGTGCTGATATCTGAAAGTCCTGTTCAACCAAGACCAACATGCACACAACGAAAATATAAGCGTGATTCTTAACAAGAGCAAGGTCAAGCTAGGTTTTCCTGATAAAATTCTATGCAAAAAGTAAGCTGAAGGTGTAAAAGGCTGATATTAGGGTCACCTGCATATCAAAGGCGACTCGAAACTTTTACATCATGACAACACAAGGATGGGGAACAGGACAAAAGGGTTCCGCCACTTCACGGCGGCGAAAAAGGGTATGCCGCGTCCATACTTGGCGACTGAGGAGATTCGGCCATTTGGGAGAACAGGCACGACAAGAGATTGCGAGGAAAGCACAAGTATCGATCTAACGACTGGGGAGTATCGGCGAGCCGGCGATTTGGGCGACTCGGTATTTTCGGCGATTGCACGCCAAAGGACCGGGTGTTTATTAGTCGGCGCTGGTCGCTGGTAACTAGCTCCCCAGTTGCAAGTATGAAGGCGGCTTTATATGGGTGGAGGAATAGGAATGACCAACTATATAATAAGAAAAACACACAAACCATTTCTCTCTACCCGCTAGACCGTACCCGTACAACAACACAGGTAGACTTAGGAAAACTGAGGTAAACTACAAGTACAGGTAAACTAATAAAAAGAAAACTAAAAGCAGTCGGGAAACAGCACGATAGAGAACAACACGAAATGAAACTAAAATTCTAATCTAATGTGCTACTGACATTTCCGGGTCGAGATACTCCACACTTCGGGTCATCTGACTCCTTCCACGTCCGTCTGCACGTAATCCTGCTCGACGGGCTGGCAGTTCGCGTGGCGACTTGATCGCCAAAAAAACAGGCCCGAGAAACTGCAACAATTGTAGGTAATAAAAATATAAATAAAATATTCAGAGGACCTAAATAAAGATGTTAGCTAATGGGTGCTAAAAGGCTATCGGCTGAGAGGATTGCACGACCAGACTCTTGCATCTAGCAAAAAGGCTTCGGTGCTACGTTAAAGGCAGTTGGCACGATGGTTTCCTACTTAGCCAATAATGCTACTAGGGCGCTGTATAGTGGGGAAATGGCGAAAAAAGTGAAACGGTCATCCTGCGAAGAAAAAAGCCACCTCAGTGACTTGGAAATCGATTTCGGACAGTTTTCCGCAGGCATCTTACCAATCACCGCTACCGAAGATACGGCTGCATCATGTCCCATATTGCAGGCAGCATAACGGGCTCATACCCAACCCTTTCGCTTCATTATTTGCCCTCAGCAAATGAAGGATAGATGCGGTCCGAATGGTCGTCCATTTGTGGGCGGGCGGGAGTGGTGGGCATTTGGGACGTAAAGTTGTGTCTTTATAGGGCCCTTAAAAAGGCACCCTCGGGGAAACCGCTGTGCCGCGCGGCCCAGTTGGTCGCGGAACTATCCTGCCAGGAGTATTGATCCTAGTCGTCTTGGGGGATTTATCGTGCTAACTGCCTTTAAATAAGGAAGGAGGGTGAACCATTTCCTTCGAGTAAAAGGGGTATTCGCTTACAATAATGCCCGTTTAATAATAGTCCTTCAGATCATTCTAAGAGCGAAACAGCGCCAAAGTGTGTGGAAATAAACAAAAGTAAAGAATATAGCCTGAAAACGACTCGCATTACTCACAAGTCCCAAATGCCTCCTTTCTTCGGAGGAGGTGCTTGTGCCTGAAGTTTCCGCGCTCTCTGCATTTCAGTCCATTTGAGAGATTCTTCAAGTTCCATGAGTTTTTCCTATTAAAAAAAACGTTGAAAATATCACATTAAACTAAGCAGATACGTAGTGACATAATGGAACGACCAGTTTTCAGTACATACTTTGTACATGTTTCTGTCAATAAGGACCCGTTGCATTTCCATGCGTGTGAATCTCTTCCTCTGCGCGAGAGGGACTTCCTCCTAAAAAGCGTAACCTTTAGCTTGTTCAGTTTTAGGGTCGACTAAGGAAAACCTCTTCCTCGGCTTCCTTCTCGGCAAGCTTCTGTTTAACGGATTTTAGTTCCTCTTCGAGCTTCGTAATATTTTCGCTCATCTTTACCCGTACCATCTCGAAACTATGCACTTCATCCCGGAGAATTGCATTTTCACTATAAAAAAAGCGCGTAAATCGTAATGACAACGGTACGAATACTCAATAAAGATGATTAAGAGGATGAAAGGGGTGGCACACTGCAGGTCACCAAGGCGCTGCATCACTCGCAAACCAGCATTCCCAGCTAGTTGACTTGACACAGAACTATTGCGCCAAATTAGTTTTGTCAAGACAGTCCACGTCATATGCCCTTTCCTCCACGGTCTTACCTCAAAAACAGAATTGCCAGTCCATAAATTGCTTTTCACTTATTGGTGGAGCAGTCCTTGATGACCTTATGAAAATGCAAAAGATTGTTGAGAAGGGTACTGTGGTCCGCACTGGAAATCTTGTGTCAGTTCCCGTGGAAAGTGGCAAGATAAAGGAGGCAAGGCGCAAACTTGACCCAGCGGCACAACCCTTTTTCAGTTACTCCGCCTCCAGACTGTGCCTTAAAAATCCGCCTTCTAGCCGAAAGCGATGCTACCGGACACGCGCATGAATTGGATGTTCCATTGTCTCTTTTGGGGCATAGGTTTCACTACAAGAGTCAGCCGACTGGACGTGTTCCAGCATGCGATCCTTGTTTTCTTTGTACATTTGCTTAAGGCTGGAGGGGCCCTATTAAAGGCGTCCGACGTTCCTTTTAGCACTTCTCTTCATGGACGAGTTACTCTACAACGTCCCTTTCCAAATTTAAACATCACTACCTATGCTCCTTATCACGGACCGGGCCTTCAACTTTGGCAATTATACACTTTTGGCTCACTATCCGATAACTGTACTTATGAAAAAGAATCTGTTCATCCAGTGGTTCTTAAAACCTAAAATAAAAGAAATCCATCGATCATCGATTTTTTTTCAGACAGGGCCTATGACATAAACGGCATAGGCTGCCCTGACAAATCTAATCTGACTCCAAACTGGTATGTTGAGTTAACTAGCTAGCAATATTTTTTTAGTTTGCCCGTGATGCAACGTCTAGGATCTCCTGAACTTCATACTGAAAAGCTAACCCTCACCTGCTCAACTCATCAACTCTTGCAATAAGATCATTTTTAACAATGTTAAGAGCATTCTTCATATCAAGAAGTTCCATATTTTCCTTGATAAGATTTTCAACTTCTCGTCCCATTCCTGAACGGATAATGTGTAAAATTCCATAAAGCACTTCAAAAAGCCACTGGAGTTGCAATTCACAGTAGGCGTTTTCACACATGCAAGAATCTTTTTTCACATATAACGGATCGCAAAGGATTGCCATTTCATCCGGCAATCGTCGACGAAGTAAGAACGCAGTATCTACGAACACTTTCAATTCTCAAACACTTCACAACGTCATAGAAACATACCTATGAATGTGTCGTTCACTGAAATTATACGTACGTTAGTCATGGTTAGTTAGCTTCGGAGGCAGACACGATGGCTATGGGCGGGTCGTTACTGCCAACGTCATTGTTGCAAAGGCTGAGTGGGGCGTGGCACTACGCTCACTCGCAGCCCTTCCACCGATGACAACAGCAGTAACCGCCCCTCTCAGCCATCGTGCCCACTGCCTTTAACTATAACGGACTTCAACTCAACGTGCAAAGCGAAAGGAGAAAAGAGCAAAATTGTTGGGAGCATCGTGCAGTCGTGCATGATGGCAAGGGCATTGGGATACGACACTTGACACAAGGAAAATCAAAGTGAGCAGATTACTGGCTACCGTGATTCATTTTTGAGGGACACAAAAACGAATTAAAACACATTCCACGATAAGTGGATGGGTGGATGTTACCAACCATTGCGTCTTGCTCGGTGATGCACCTCTCCAAATGAGTCACAAAAAAGGCCGTGGTTGGGAACCTGCCCACCCCATCGTCAGGAATGTGCCTTTAAGTACGCTTACTCCCACCAATCGTTTGTTAACATATTCTGCCTAAATAGCCGCTAATTTTGCGCTTAGCGACGGCAAAGCCACAAGCTAGCAAACTTCTTGAGCACTTCACACGTTTTTCCAACATCCTTTTAGGGCTTGCTCAGAAATTTTGCTTCAAGCGGGCACTTGACGCACTCACCGCATGTATACAGTACACAGTAATCTTCTCACAGCAAATGTGCTCTTGGTGACCACCAGACCACTGGACAAAACATCGTCCTGACAACACAACCCAGCTTCATCTTGGGGAATGGGGTACACAGGTGGACAAGCTCGTCTTACCGCTCTCCGACTCCAGCGACGCCGTCCGCCGGTAAGGCTGCTTTCTTTGACGGATATCATCTCCATTCGCAATGTCTGTTGAATGCAACACCACATTACCACATTTAGCAACTAAGGAAAATAAAGAGGTTCTCTAAAGGTACACTAAAATTCTAAAAAGCAGCGATTCCCAAAATCTATCTAAGGGACTTTCAGCTCAACAGGAGAGCGTGCATGTGCACCTACACTTTTAGGACATCCGAGATGCGACATCGCACGAGGCAGCTAGTATCCCTAGTTAGCTGACCTGACACAAAACTCTGCTGTCAGATCAGTTGTGTCATGGCAGTTCGCGTCTCGAATTGTCTATTTCACGGCACTGGGTTAAAATCCGACAACCACTGAAGGCCTTTTCCTGTTTCAAGTTCTGCGGATGAATATCCGTTCACATTCATTCAGTTCTAATCAATACATAAACGGTATTCTACAAGTAGAACAGTTGGACAATGAACGCACATTGATAGTGATCGAGCTTCTCGAGCATTGAAGGAAGAATCCTCAGCTTATCTCAGTACCTAACAGAGCGTAACAGAGCGTAACAGAGCGTCCGTTCTTTCGTTAATACAATTTGGCGAGGTGCCAGCCTATTTCCGTCAATGGCTGCAACGACTGGTGGACAAGCTGGAGCCAAAACGTACATACTCAGGAACGCCTTCCACATTATAGACTGACATCGACTGCAATTTAACTGCTGCTCAGTTTTTTTTGAGACCAAGGGCCGTGAAATTAAGCAGTACACTACGGAAGCAGCCATGACCCAGTTGGTTCGATGTCAAATTGCTATGACAGGTCAGCTAGCTAGTAATGTTGGTTTCCACGCGACACTGCGTCTCAAATGTCCTCAACAACACCCATATTTTCACTAACACTATGTTCTCTATCACTTTCTAAAGTTTTCACTGAACCAATACAGGCACGCATGCGATACAAACACAGAAAAAAAAGCTGCAAATGATAGCCATGCTTCGATATAGAAGATGCGCAACAATTACCCGCTGATGCAAACTCCGCCGGATCAACGAGATTGCCTGCAGATAAGAGAAGAGAATTTAAAGTTGAATGGCACAAATGCCTTCTCAATAATACTAAACCGTTATTCATACTGACAATCAAAGAAACATAGAGCCCTGGATAAGTGGAATTAATGGAAAAGAAAACGACAGTGATAGCCTAGGTGGAACCGAAAGGTGAAGGTCGTGTGCTCGAACCAAAATCCGCACTTATATACTACTTAATGAAGATGTATAATCCCCTGATCTCACTAGAAATGCACTTTAGTAACTTACCAGTAAGATCAGCGCCAAGCGAGTCTTCACCATCACGTTGTTCCTCCGACTCCCTAAAAATAACAAGAGAATAGTAATAATCCTAACAATAATAATAAAATCAATAACAATTAGTGAGCACTATATTATGATATTCACATATGAGAAAGAAATCTGGACAGATCACTAAAATCGCTGTCACATGGTTCACATTGCGGGCCACAATGTGTCCGCGTCACAGAATTGTCTACTCATTTTTGAGAATCAGAAATAACACAAATGCGGTGCTGATGTAGCAAGGCCTTTTTCTCCTCCCCAACGTTGGTCTCACGCCGTCTCAGAGTGCGCTACTCTTTGGACATGGTTGCTGCGACAGGGTTCTCCATCACCCGGTCTGTCGACCTGAGCTTGGTACTGATATCCTCATCATTTTTGCCAATTTTGTAAGGCATGGTTTGTGCCACAGCAGGGGTCTCGCTGATGAACAAAGGTATGCGGTGGAGCGTTACTCCCCAGTCACGGCCAAATAGGGGGGTACACAGCCTTGTTCGCTGCAGATCATGGAACGTGCTGAGGGGGGGGGTGGGTTTGGCCCATGTATCAGCCTTTCCAGCGACTGTTGTCAAGGGGGTGGAGAATGGGCTGGTGCCGAGTCAAACCCCTCTCCTCTGACAAGCCCCATCCGCAGCGGACAAGACGGTGTGCAAGTTGATGCAATTTCTACAAGTCAGAGAAATCGTCTCCCCGCTAGGAAATCTCGCGTCTCTCAAGTCCCCTAGCCGTCTCTGGACCTGTGCCTACCATACTCGTCATTAAAAATTCATGACGTGATGGTGACATCTCTCGACTGTATAGAATACAGGTTTCTCGGTCATTAACATGATCTCTCAACTCTCGGTAGGTGACAGAGACCCCTGCTACGCCCATAGACCAAATACGAAAAAATTTGCTATGTTACCAATCAAAACTAATTACTGAAGAAACTATTATTTGATGAGTTGTTTTCTATAATTAAGGAAGGATGACAAATGATTATTCAAATAAATATTAAACCGTACTCTTCTTCCCGTTCACTTCCTCTGGTATGTTTTGTTGTGCTTTCTGAAGCTGTACTTGGAGCTGCTTTTTCCTCTTCTGATGTCATGTCTCGTGGAGATGGCTCAACGTCAGACGAGAACTCGTCTTGCCAATCTGCTAAATAGAAAATATTTCCATGAACATGGGCAAACGAACATCTATTGAAAATTCTCCTGAGGGAAACCGGGATTAAAGTAGCAAGAAACAGCTGACAAACCTTCATTGCTGATATGGTTTGCGAGATTGACGTCCATCGTTGTACTCTGAGACATATGGGCACTGATTAAGTCGGACACACCGCGAATACTCGACGCATCGACCGAAGCAGCCATTCCCATTCTAAAATTACAAACTGGATTAATCTGCTTTGGAGCAACTCAAGCCAAGTTTTCCCAAAAGGTCCCTAAGCATATAAGTCAGGCCTGCTTATGCAGGTCAGAGAAATGTTAATCGAGAGGCTCGCCAGGCTGCGTTCATACTTTGAGCCAGCGTTTTGAGCGACTAGAACAGTATAGACATCGACATAGCGCTTTGAGCGTGCGCCAGCGTTGTCGCTGGCTGTCCGCGAAAAGTAAACTACCCACGGAACGTTCGAAACACTGGCGTATGCTGAAAAATCGATATCTACACTTTATACACTATACTCTACATCCATACTAGATCGATATCTCTACTTTAAACACAGCGTCCACGATCAACCAGGTGCAGAAAACTCTTTAGAGCACAAGATGGCGGAGCTTGTGGCCACAGCGGATATCCCTTTTTCGCGGCTCAAAAGCGCTTGAACGCTTATGAAGGCGGAGTCAACAAGTTCCACTTCGATCATTTTTTCATTACCAAGATTCGTTAGCGGTGATAATTGCTAATCTTATCGAATATGCCTTGGAGAATGAGTCGCAGCAAGTGGCGATTAGATACGGAGAGCTCGCCCAAAGTTTGATTAACTCGTCCATTTTCAAACCTGTACATGAGGCCTTTCTAGGGCATTTTCAACGGGTTCTTTTGTTTTTCTTCTTTAGAATTGTACCCTAAAGGTTCTGTGCCCTACAACCCGTGAAAGGCGATCGCGGACGCGGTTTTTAAAAATGACTCGAAACGCTGATTTAAGTACGAATGCAGTCTAAGGATAAGACTTAGTGGATTTTTTAGAAGCATCAAAGAAATTGTATGGAATCGCTAGGATGCAAAACTACTCTGCAAATGTGCTCCAAAATTCAGTGATCGTATGTATAAAAAGCGGTGGAGAAATGCCAATAAAAATCATAAAGAATCCAGTGAACATAGGAGTTGGGCTTGAAACTGTTGGCATGCTATTTATGCAGGAATTATTCGAGAAATTAAAAACTAAGGGGGAGTAGTGAAAGTGCAAGTCCGTAGAGCATGGAACCGATTGCCACATAAACTCACTGATACTGCACACCACAGGGCAAGTAGTAACTAGAAAGCATATTGGTACTGGTTGTTTTATTGAAACAACATATTTCCTGAAGAAATGCTTGCAAGAAGTTAGCCATCAAGCACCACCTCTACGTCCATGCGAACGCCATGATTTGCAGTAAGCGAAAATGATTGTCGCAATGAAAGGGACTTATACGAATTGAAATAAACCGAAGGAGAATAAAGGAAACCGACCTGGTACGAAGCTGCGCTTGTGGAAGTGGCATGTTCTGCATTAACTCGAACTTATCATTTCCCATTAGATATTTGGTACGTTCCATATGGTCGACATGTGTACGTAACAATGCATTGTACCTGGAAATCAATTCAAATGAACACGACAGTCACCAGAACAGACAATGAAATGCAAAACAGTTGGTGGGCGCAGTCCGGCCGTGGAGAGGGGGGGGGGGAGAGTTTTGCACTTTAGGCATTGTTCACACTCTGCGGTCCAGCGTTTCTCTGAAACGCGGCGGTTCGGCGAAAAGCTTTCGATACATATCGACTGGCGGTTGGGCGAAGAGCCTGGCGGTTGGGCGAAAGGTTTGTTGTTTTCAGGAAATTTCCCAAATGCAACACAGGTATTGTTCAGGACGTCCAAGTGGTGGTACTGCGCGCCAGCTTGCACAGGACTTCCTAGTTGGCTGATTTGTCACGAACCCATGTGAAGCTGGTACGAGTGCTGCGCGAGTGATATCTGCAATGTTTTCACAGTCGTCCGCGTCTCAACTCTAACATAGGGAACAGCACCGACACGACCCCTCCCCTCCCCTAAACCCATTGGGCGGAGGGTGAATAGTGAAAAAATTTGTGTATTTAAATTTATTTATATAATTGAATCTACACCGAGCGCGTGCTGGCCATAGATGCCCAAAACTTTTGAAATACGGCAAGTGGCCACAGGGTGAAGAAAATTGAAAAATCTACAACATGTCCCAACTAATCAAGTACCACCCCTCCCAACAACTAAAATACAGTCCAAGTTCCCGACGAGAAAACATAACCGCGCCACTATTTGCCTTTCATTTCGTAAAAACTTCATCCATGTCTATCTGCATACCAAATCTGACCTCGATTCTCTTACAACATTTGTTCCCAGTAATTTACACAGTCGATGAATGGCTTAGTGTCCGGGGAATGCGCTTATGATGAATGAAATGCGCCATTCAAAGCGGGTAAAAACAAGGCATACAGACAATAAAGCAAAAATCCTCGATGATTACAAACCTTTCATGCAAACGATCGAATTCAGCTTTCTGGTCAGCTTCGCGTTCCTCGAGCCGTGACGCTGAAAGAACAAACATGACATACCTGAATATCAGTTCTCCGAAATTCCATCGAAATTCTGTTGCGGTTTGCAAAAAAAAATTGCGAATAAAGAACGCAAACAAGAAAAGAGAAAGATGAAATCACACACCATGGTCAGAAGCATTCTTGGCTTTCAGTTCTAGCATTCTCATGATTGATTCAAGAGATTCAATTTTCGCCTCCAACTCTTTGTTCTGACCGATGAGGTTGTCTTCAATTTCCATGTACTTCTGTAATGAGCAAAATATATATGTGCCTTATTAGCACCTTTTGGTAGTTTCCGAGCCGAGATCACGAAGACATCCTGAAAACCACAGAGTTCACCTGTTCAGCCTGTCTTCGCAACTGTTTTTCCCTTTCATATTGCGTGACGAGCTGTTCGTTATCTTCTTTGAGCATTTCCTGATCAACTGCTGCCTCTTCACGTTCCAGAAATGCAAGATCTAGTGCCTCTAGCACGTTCACAACCAGCGGCATTAAGGTCTGCAACAATTAATTTGATTACCATGCAATAGTTCTGACCTGAATATCACATAACGTGAAAGAGCACCGGAAAGTTTCTCGCAAAGGAGGTCTGAAGACTCGAAAAAGACCAAAGTTTGGAATTT